CTAGGAATAAGGAATACACAGCTTAATATTAACGATCAACGCTGTGGTGGACGTCGGTAAGCCTATTGTGCATTGAACTCATTGCTTTTGTTATACTCCAAGGGAATTAACTACATAAATTTATTTTCTCATGAATTGAAACCAACATTGTTTTTTTTTCATATTTAACATTAACATCCTCCGCTTTATCAAGTAACTGCATGTTTTGCAGCTTCAATCATACAAGGACGTCTTGCTCACGTCACGTTGATTAAAACTGATAGCACGTTTAAGTACACGAACTTATTGCCAATGCGCGCCAAATTCGTAATCTTGTTAGTTGGACTGAAATTAGCACCTGACCATCAACATTCTGAACTTAATCTACGTTAGGTCTCTATTCTCTATATTTCCTAATCATCATGATAATTTTTATATTTGTCATCATAAACATCATCTTTCGTTATAGACCCCCATTTGGATTTGAGTTCTTTGACGTCAAACACACCAGATCATAACCTACAAAAGCCAGAAAACTATTATTAGGAAGTAAAATAGGGGAGGGGCAAAAAGCATCATCTTTATCATCATCATCTTCTTCTAATTCATCATCATTATCATCATCATTATCATCATTATTATTATGATGATCTACGTTTTATTGTCTTCGTCAAAATGTTAAATACTACTGTATATCCTAATACTATCTCTCAACAAATTATAGTAGTTTTTAAACCTGTAATATACCTCTTTTACACAATCATAATAACGTCTTTAGCGGCTTCGTAATGTACTTTAAAGCGACACATGCCAATAAAAATTACTTCAACATCTAAATCATTCTCTCTAAATACAACGTTCTCTATAAATCAAAGCAATACATTGAACGCAGAACTTGTCAGCCCAAATGTAGGCCCTAATGTTACGGTACACGATAGGCTGACAACTGACATCAATACTTAAGGTGAATGAACCAACGAACACTTTACCTCTCATAACAATACTTGGAATCTGCCTAATAATATGTACCACAAAAATATTTAGTAGTTAGGAAACTATTAGTCACTCATGAATATTCCTAATATACCATGATATTGTGAAAAAAGAAACACTTTTAGACTAGAGTTTAATTGATTCACTTGTGTCTTCATTATTGTCTTATATTCAACATCTAGCCCTAAATATAAAAGGCCCTAGGAAAGCTAAGAATGTTCATATTTCCTTCAAGCAAATAATAGGTTTTGTCACATGAAGTTTGACAGTGCATGTGGTAGTGCTGTTAACCACACGGTTCAGCATGTTAAGATTTTTAACAAATATAAAAGCATGAATGCGCGTCACCATAACAACCTCTTTAAAATGAATATTGAATTTACATACGCTTCAATACACATTTGATTGTTACTGCAAAATAGGCACAATTACGGACCTGTCGCGTCGTTTGAATTAAGTTACTATTTACAATTTTGATAATATAATATCGACTTTTCTTTTGATAGATACGCACTGAAAGAATGTGAGATTTATATGCAGCTTATATTACACAATAATTGATCCTTAATTGTGCTTGCTTAAAAATGTACATGAGCCATTAGCGTAATAGGCGGATGTTGAAAAATAAATTCAGAGCGATAAACCTTTTTTTCGATGTGGAAGTAATGCTAACCTCCTGCCCCGGAGGGATACCGGCACGGTTTCCCTAATCATGGGTTACGGAGTAACAAATGCTGGGGTGTATATA